CTCCCTGTGTTGTCAGGCATGTCAATCAAATTTTAATTAATAAAATCACATCATTATGTTAAAAGATTACTTAAATATAGAATTTTAATATATATGCATTTATAGGTATTTAAATTCTACGTGTATACTAATGACATTTCATACAGTCCCCCTGCTGGCAGATCCACAGCCAGCTATAGGGGGCCATGTGATTGTTCATTTGAACTATTATGGGAAGGAATATCAAAGCGACTTCTTACCTTTAGGGGTCAAACTGTTTGACAACGTTTTAACCCCAGTTAAGTTCCACCTGATGCTCTCAGCCTATCAGCATTTGTCCAGCTAACCCTTCCTTGTACTGTACCCTAGAGAAGAAATGAGGCTGGGAGGCAGAAGTGTTGCAATGCAATCTTCAGGTTTAAACCATTGTTAAAGAGGTTGACCCCTGAAGATAAGAAGGTGCCTGGACATTCATGCCCCAATAGCAACCTAAATAAACTTAAGTTCTTCTACGATGGTGATAAAAAAAGTATGTTATAATCATGCCTTTAACATTGGCTTCTTGTTAAGCGGTAAGCTAATGGGCTGGGCAAAGGTAGCAGGTCAGTGAGGCAAATTGCATAATTTGTGCCGCTCAAAGGGGGTGGGTCTGTATAAAGAATAGGTAGATCAGCCAGGTGTAAATACATGAAATCAGGACAGTTGGGAGGCCTGCATAACGGTAAATTTAATGCTAAATGTTAATTAAACCATTTGATTTCCAGTCAAATGCCCAAACTAAAGTGACAGCCTGTTTACATCAAAAACCCATTCACATTTACATTCACAAAAGTAAAAAAATTATGCCACATCTCCAGATAGAAAATGTGTGGAAAAACATATGTGTAATAGATGTTTCTGTGTCAGCAGACCCTTTAATGTGATTTGCTATTAGAGTGTAATGGCTGGAAAGGCCCCCCTCATGGTGACGGCCAGTGGAGGCTCGTGTATATTTGCACTTGGGGGAGCACCCCACCAGATTTTATTTGGGGAAATTTGTTGTTTAAAAAAACTAAGAAGGGTGGTAAGCAAAAGAACGAAATATAGGAAAAACTAGTTTCATTTTTTTTTTTAATTCTCTTTAATTCTGTAATAGGTTTCGGTTCAGCAGAGCCCTTTCCCCCACATTGGTAGTTGTTTGGAGAAGCATCTAAGCACGGGCCTGGTTTGAAATCTGTCCTGTTTCAGCAGGTTGTACACATGCCTAGTCTCTTTTAAGAAGGAATTTCAGAAATTTCCAAGGACTTGCCATTCGGACAGCAGAGTTATCTGCCCTTGAGAGGAGGTGGGCTGTTGGCCTCTCTGTATTGTACTCATCTCTATGTATTTTATAGATATCCTTATGTTGCGCTTAGCTTGTTTCCTTGTATAAGCATCTCTATATTACATTCAGCTGCCAGTATAGGGAGGAGTAGAATTTTTGGGGTTAAGTCTCGTGCCCCACCATCTTAAACTTCACCAGCCACCACTGGTGATAGCGACATTCAGAACAGCTCACCATAAATTTAAAAGCAACATGTGTTAGGAGCTTCTGGCGCCCTCAGAGGGATTTTGTTCCCATGGAATGTTGACACCTTTGTGATTATATAGGAACTGAATTCTAATTGATTAAATAGCTAAGAAAAAAAAGGAAATAATGTTTCAACAAAGACAGTGAAAACGACCAAAATTGCCAGCAATAAAATGTCTACTGACAGGCTTATCCGGTTGCTTGCCTTAGCCAAGCAAGACTCATATATCTATTTGTAGAGCCCTAAGGGTAGTGGCACAGCATTATTCTTGCTTCACCTTTAGACAGCTGGTAGATGTGTAATGTTTTCAGACGCACAACTGTTTCCATTTGAATTGTGTTTGGCTTCCTTGATTGGTTTAATGTCAGGCTGTTAGTTTGTCACACCTTAACAACCTCCCAACTGTCTGATAATGATCTTATGTAGGCAGCTGTCACCTCAAAAATAATTTTGAATATAATAATCCTTTCAGCAAGTATTGAAAAGCAATAGATTTGTTTCAACGAAGTATAGGTATAAAAAATCGAAAATCTCATTCTTACCTTTAGTATATGATGGAATCCTTCAGACATATACATGCACCTTGGGTCAGACAGTGTTGGAATTCCGACAGCTGTTCTCAGTTGTCATCCCTGCTTCACTCCCTGCACAGTGCATCATCATCCATTGCATTGCTTAGTGCAGTCTACTAAGCAAAGTTGACGCCTAAAAAAGCATAAAGAGCAAATCCTACTAATTATATCCCCATACATCGTTGTACTGATCAAACGGATGTTGTCAGTGCACTGTGCAGGGAGTGAAGCAGGGATAACCATAGAGAATAGCTGTCTGATTCAAACACTGGCTGACTCATGGTGTATATATATGTATGGACGAATGTTATTAAAACATTTTTTTTACATATACTTCATTTAAAAAATGTACTTTCAATACTTGATGAAAGGATTAATATATATTAAAACATATTTTTGAGGTGACAGTTTTCTAAGCTTAGTTGCTGCGTTATCGGTTATCCTTTTTTGAGGGATTACAGGGCTTCATTGTTCCTATTGATTAGTCTTTCGGCATCTTCTTCAGATACACTCTTAATGTCTTCCAGCTATATACTGTGTTAACACTCCAAGACGAATGAAAACACAGAAATCACCGTCCTGCCTTTCTGACCTCATGTCTGTCTGTTATCTAGGCATGTCATTGTGTAACGCAGCATCTGTCAATGTAAAAAAAAAAATTCAAAAAAAATGAAAAAGCTGGGAAATACGCACAAATTCAGATTACAAGCATTTAAATTATTTTTGGCAGGTTAATGCAGACCATGTGGTGTTGTGCAAGCAAACACATAACATGGCAAACTGAAATATGAACGGTTTGAATGCAGTCCAGAGGTGTTGGTTCTGTATATCAAATCACAGACAGATCTTTTTTCAACCAGGTTTCTTATGGAGTCTTCTTGTGCCTTTAGATATATCCAGGCAGGGGAGAGATGGCAAAGGGGCATGTACCCCATGGCTACTATTAATGACAGGTTTGTGCACTACTACCTCACAAAACAGTACTAAAAAATGTTAAGTAACTAGATTATTTTTGTATTATTGCATTCCAGTTATTGCAATATAAGTATAAAACATTTAATACAAAATTAAGCAAGTGTGTGTGATGAGTTACTGTGCTGGTTGGGCCTCGAATTGGATTATTTGTTTGTAGTTATCCCGCAGGCCAAATGTAGCAAGCCCTGCTCTGTATCCTTGGTTATAGATCCTGCTCCTTCTGTGTAAGAAGTAATGTATTGTTTTGGCCGCGTGCCTCACATTTTATTCAGTAAGTCATGAGTTCAAGTTTGCTTAGTCAGTACGCTGGCCTCACAGAGCAATATAAGCCCAAGTAATGGTGGAGAATTTATCATATCTGTAATACTTTGGATTTTACTTATCTGTTAAGGAAGTGCTTTGAGAAAACATATCAACATTTCACTATGCAAAACTTTAATCTTGACACCATGTGATTAAACTGTGCCGTTATTCTGTTCACAATGGAGGGAAGCAAACCCGGTCAATGCAAAGCATGTTCATTGTTCTATAGCATGCCTTTTGTTGATATATTCATGAAATCGTAAAAGTATATTTTCTTAACCTAGGGAGTGCCAAAGGGGTGTGCAAAAAAGAATGAACATATTTTTGACAGAAAATGATAGTGAGCAGAGAATTTACAGATATCATATTCTGCACATGTCTGTAAAAGTTTATTTTCCCACATTAAGGATATTTTAAAAAGTTATATACCATATTTTTCTGTGTATAAGACGCCCCCTTGTAAAAAAACGACCCCTATCAATATTGTAAACATCAAATAGAACAACTTTGATATTTTAGAGGCGACAACTCAATTCTGATTCTCATGCCTCCCCTGTGCTACAGTACTCTGGGAAGTTAATTGCTCTATGGTGCATGCTAGGAGACTACAACTCCCAAAATACAGCAGGTGGTGTGAGGGCATGCTGGGACATCACAGTAGTATTCCCTCTGCTCCCTGATCCGCATTTCCTCACCCATAAATAAAGGTATGCTGAAGTGGAGCAAACCTTAATATGGCTGCCCTTTTTATGTTGTGGCATGTCTCTGTAACTCCGTTGGTGGTAAGTGCTGATGTCTGCTGCAGCTCCCACGCATATAGGGACCTCTTCCTCCTTGCCACATTATTCAGAAGTGGATTGGCGGGAGGGTGGCCAGGTATGTGTGTGGGTCGTGGCACACAAAAACGTGGCAGGTGCTATCTTAGCTTAGGTCCTGCGCACAAGTGTTTTGTTTTTTTTAGCCCCTGAAATGACATTCCATTCAGGAATACCCTGCTTAATGCTGTAGATAGGTTCCAACTGCTATGAGTGCTAAGCAAAACAGCGCTAAACGGTGCAGTTTAACATGGGGAAGATAGGGATAGGGAATCAACTTTGAAAAAAAGACACAACACAACACCAATAGAATTTTAAAACTTTTAAACACACAGCAGCACAAATAAAAAGCAAAATAAAGTAAGGGTTTTGCACCCAATATATTAAAGAAACAGTACCAAATTAAAGTAACAGTCCATAAAAAAAAAAAAAAAAGTTTAAATGGTGGATGTGGAGGCTCAAGGGTCCTCCTCCTACCTCGTTTTCTTGGCCACAAATGGGTCAAGGGTCGTTTGTTTATGCTTCTTGCGGCTATCCAACAGATGGCGGTAGCAAGACACCCCTCCCAGCACAATGCGCCTTGCATTTCTGCTCCTAATTGCATCAGGATCATTGGCCACCAGCTCATCCATTATGTCATTGACCTGATGCAATGCCCTGTTTAGGAGCTCAGAGGAAAGCTCTTTTGGCGGCTCAGTGTCCGAGTCGCTGGTGTCCTGAGGTTTCTTTGTGCCCTGTTCAGCCAGTTCTTCAATGTCCTCATTGTTGAGGCTCTCACCTGAAGCCTGGACTATATACTCGATGTCCTAAGCATCTGTATCTCCTAGTCCAGCCGGGGTCACAGGGTCCACTATCTCCGCTATGATGGGCTCTGGTAGTTGCACATCCTCACACAGCTCTAGCCAGATCTTTTTCCACACAGCCTTGAGTTGCACATCCTCACACAGCTCTAGCCAGATCTTTTTCCACACAGCCTTGAGACACTGCTGTGTCACCTCCTTCCAGGAAAGATCAATGTTGGAGATAGCCTTCATGATGTGGTACTGCTTCCAGAAGTCCAACATTGATTGCTTGTCCTCGCAGTCTGTGTGTTCAATCAGCTGATGGAATGTGCAGTGGAGATAGCAGGCCTTGAAGGTGGAAATCACTGCATGAAAGGGCAGAAACGGTCAGTGAACCAATCTGTAAAAATATCCCTGGTGATCCATGCCTTCCTGTTTGCCTTCCAAATGACTGGCAAGCTGGACTTGCTAATGCCCCTCATTGCCCTCGGTGTCTGGGAGTGGTACACCAGCAAAGGCTTTAGTCACCGCTGGCGTTCCCACCCACAAGAAGGGTCAGCCTGTCTTTCGACGCTTTAAAGCCCGGTGCTCTCTTCTGCTCCCTAGAGATGAACGTGCGGCTTGGCATGCGCTTCCAGAAGAGCCCGGTCACAACCACATTGAAGACAACCTCCGGTGGATAGCTCCCTCTATCCACCACGTCCTTGAAAGAGGCTGGAAAGGCTGCAGCAGCTCCAGTGTCTGCAATTGCCGCTTCACCGGTGATCTTAAGGTTGTAGAGGTTGTACCTTTTCGTAAAGCGGTCAAACCAACCTCTACTTGCTGCAAAACTCTCCATCACATTTGGATCTTGACTCTGGATGTGAGCGTAAATTCTCTTTGACTTCTCCATCAAGATGGCCTGGCTGAGAGACATGTTACGCTCCAGCTCATCATCTATCCGTATGGAAAGCCTCTTCACCATCTCCTCAAGAGCGTAGGACCTGGAGCGGGTGATCTGCTTGGCTGAAGAAGCAGTGCTGGTCGTCACTGAAGTGCGGATCTTATCCTTGTTTTTGAGGATAGTGCGGATAGTGGAGGTAGGCATAGAGATCTGTCCGGATATCCACCTGGCGCTCTCCTTTATCCAGGCGGTCCAGCACTTGAATCTTAACATCCAGAGGAATACTCTGGCCCTTGCCCTTAGCCTGCTCCTCTTTGTGCTTAGACATCTGTAAAACAGTATAAAAAATACAATGAATGTAGATTTTCTTAGAAAAGTAACAATTAACACTTAACAATCAGGTTATGCAACACAATGGAACAATGACAATACAGTATTCTGTACTGTACCTTGCCAGCGGATGTTCTCTGCAGGATTTGGGGGTCCCTGATAACAATCACTAGATGTGACTCTATCTGCATTACCCCACCCCCCCAAAAAAAAATTTAAAAAAATTGTATTAGACTATTAATAATTAATAATCACATTATTAAAAACAAGGGAACAAATAAAGTTACAGGAAACAAAGGGTACAAAGATACAAGGGGGAAAAATTGTATTAGACAATTAATGATTAATAATCATATTATTAAAAACAAGGGAACAAAGAAAGTATTATGTACCTTGCCAATGGATCTTCCAGGTTGAATTTGGCTGTCTCTCTCTCTCTCTTTCTGGCTCTCTCTGGTTCTTTCTCCCATGGTGCCCCTGCTAACGCTGTAACAACGCAGTCACGCTCTTTATAGCGTTGAGCGGGTCCCGCAAGAAAAAAACTGCGCTACAGCGGGGTTTAGCGCTCTGTATGTAACAGCGCTATAGCAAATCTGCGCTATGCGGTGTAGCGCTAAACGGGGTATCACTGTATAAGATGACCCCCAATTTTAGACTAAAAAAAATTTGGAAAAAACATAGTCTTATACATGGAAAAATACAGTATCTAAATTCTTTAAAAACAAAAAGTGATCCTCTGTTGTAAATATTGTTTTAATAATGTTACACTTCATGGACAATAACAATTCATGCTGTCCTGTTCTTAAACCTTACAGTGACAGAGTATTGTATTCACTTGTTTTTTTGAATGATCTCAAACCTTTGGCGGTAAATGGATTTATTCTATCCTTTAGGCAGGGCTGCCATCAGAAATTGTGAGGCCCCTAACACAGCTCAAGGTCTGGGCCCCCGTGTGCCCGCCTCCAAGCCCCACCCCCAAATCCCGCCCACAGGAATACACACACACAGACACAAAAGGACACAGACACACAGAAAGATACACACATACTAACAGACACAAATACTGAAACAGACATACATATAGATACATACACAGATACACACACACACTGACATACAGACACACACATTGTTGTACATACATACTCACATACTGACACACACATACATACTGACAAACAGACATACATACAAACTGACATACAGACATACATACACATAAATATATACTGACATATATACATAATGGCATACATACACATACATACTGATATACATACATACATACATACACACACACACAGACACACACACAGATATATACATACACAGATACACACAGACATACTGACATACACACACAGACATACATGCATACTGACATACATACATACTTGAAGACATACACACAGACATACACACAGACATACACAGACATACATACTGACATACATACTGACACACACACAGACATACACACACAGACACAGATATACTGACATACACATACACACTGACATACACACAGACATACATACACACACACACAGACATACATACTGACATACACACAGACAGACATACATACTGACATACATACTGACATACACACACACACACATACTGACATACACACTGACATACACACACAGACATACACACACACTGACATACACACTGACATACACACACACAGACATACACACACAGACAGACATACACAAAGACATACACACACACACACACACACACAGACAGACATACACACAGACATACATACACATACCGACATCCACACAGACATACACACACACATACATATATACTGACATACACACACACACAGACATACACACACACACACACACACACAGACATACATACTGACATACACACACACACACAGACATACTGACATACAGACATACTTGCAGACACACACACACCTCATTTATCAGCCA